TTTAAATAGAAGAATTCAGATCCAAACGCAGCGCTCGCTGGCTTATTCCCTGTGTCAACAACTCCCTGTTGGAAGGGACCTTGTACCTGGAACTCCAGTCCACTGGAGACTCCTTGGCAAAATTCAGCAAAAATGCTCAAATAATTTTCTGTATGCAGCTGAGGTGTTTTGGTGGGTGAGCTACCTACCAGCCTTGGATAAAATGGCAGCATTTTTTTCCTACCAAAAAAAAAAGGTTCAGAACATACTGTGAGAAATTTCTTGTGCTATTGTGCTGTGTCTTTAGCAAATTGTCTGTTTCTAGAGGTTATCAGAGTCACAAAAGGCAAGTTCCTGGCAATAGCCCAAGCTTTCTGGTAAATAGCCCAAGCTGTATCATAGTACTTTCAGCTACTGCTTTTAAAAAAGCAAAGTTTGTGTTTCTTTGACAGAGAGTTCAGTGTCCCTGTAAATGCCGCTCATTGGAATTCTTTGTTTTAGGGCAGAGAGCAGAAAAACACAACACAGGAATAAAACAGGGCAGCTTTCCCTGAAGGTTCACGTGTTCACGAAGGAGAAATTTGCCAGATGAGACTTTGTGCTACTATCTCTGACCTCTATGCTCCTCTTAAATAACAAACAAATAAGGGGTGGAATTGTTTGGTCCTGAAGTAACATAGGCTTTCTTTGCCATAGTGTAGTTGAAGCCACGTATCTTAGTTTTAACAAATAGCCAGTTTTAAACCCCCTGACCCAAGATATGAAAAATAGCCTCACCCCTCCAATTTCTAAATATTTTGCTATTTCCAGATACTTTTTTAGATCAGTTGCTGAAAAAAGTATTGAAGGGTGGAGTAAAATTGCTTTGGACTGAAATGCAAATTTTGGAATTTCTAAATTCAAATGTTTATTTTTTTTTGTGGGATAGTTTGTGCTTCATAAAGAATGATGTTTTAGGTACACAAAAATCCAGCTCTTAGTTATCTTGCTTTTCTGTTGGGAGGTGGTGAAGACTGACAGGTTTCCTTCCCCACACACATTTCCAAGACGGACCGTGGGTTTGGGTCATCACGTAGGACAGCAAGCCTCTGGTTTCAGTTTCCTTCCCTGCATGAGAGTATTCTGAAACCACAACTACACCATGAAACCCAGGAAAGTCAAAACAAATTTTTCCACTGTACTCAGCCAGATGCTGACCAGTTCCAGCTGAGGTTAATAGCTCCTTTGCTTTACGGTGCATGTCCAGCATCAGAAGGAGCATGGGGATGGCTGAGCAATCCTGCCTGGTTCCTAAGGCACAGCACTGAGAGCAGGAATCCAAATACTCAGATTGCATCATTCCTTTGAAGTCACTCCTTCTTCGACTTCAGTTGTGGTAATGATTTATATCAGCTGATCTTTAGATCCAAAAATAGAACTGTTTTGACGTGACCTTGGACATGTATATTGGATCACCTATCTGGGTTTCGGGTGATCCACTTCATAAACAGTCACATTATTTCCCTTGAGTTTTATGTTGTTACCTGCTTGATGGGCTGTTAGAAGCTGAAATTTTCAGGAGAGACCATAGGAACTAGATGCTAATTTTTGATACTCCAATTACATTTTGAGCTGGATTTCTCAGGAGATCTCACAGGGAGAGCTTTGTAAGTTTTAGGTGTTATGCAAATAACAGCTATTACTGTTCTCTCTCAGCACATCAGATCCTGATTTGCTGTTTGGATTATCTAATCACTGTCAGTCCAAGTATTTGGAGTGGAAGTAATTACAGCAGTACTTTCAACTAATTCCTATTCATGGAGTAATAATGAAAATGTTGATCTGAGGGATAAGTGAGCTAAGTATTCATGACGTAATAAACGCCTAAGAGCATTTGGGGCTGGTTCTTGTTGCTGCTGTCAGAACAGCTGTAACAATGTAAATGGTTCATGTGCCATCTTCAACTTGAAGAAATAGTGTCAAGTCTCAGACACGTACTAGATCATGGTGGCATCAAAGACCTAATTACTTGCTCTGTATTGTAGCGCGTAACAGGGTCTGTGATTAGCTCTCTGTCTGGGGCACATCATCTCTTCTGTGCAGTGAAGGGCTTTCAGTGCTCCTAGGCAGATGCTGCCAAATTGATTATTCATAGTATCATAGAGTGGTTTGGGTTGGAAGGGACCTTTAAAGGTCATCTAGTCTGACCCCTTCTTATTTACTGCTTTATTGCTAAAGGTTTAGGGTATCATGTAGTTTATTCTCAGTTAAGATAGTGCTGGATGTTCACCTGTGAGATATGTGTGCCATGGGAGCATAGAAATGCGACTGTGATAATGGTATGTACAGTCTTGATGACTGTATTATCTCATTTTTGAAGGTCCTGAGCAGATTTTCAAGTGAGGGAATGTATCTTCTTTTTGAGTTTGTTCGTACAAGCTCAGCAGAAGGAGTTAACCATCAGATCACTAACATTAATGGGATTTCACACTGTGTGTTCAGGCAAAAAATTGATCCTTGTCTCTAATTAAAAAAAAAATACTTTATTCTACTTTAAACTACTATTGCAGTAGAATCTCTCTGCCTAGATATTCTCTAAGAGGAGGGAGCTGACTAGCTCGTACAGAAGAAGGAGGAAGTTCAGGGGACGCACCTTCATGGCATGTCGTTCCTCCCATTTCCTCAAGTTAGCATCATGAATGTTGTTTGTTCTTTATAAATGTAGTTACTTGGGTCATGATGATGTTGTCCTGAGGCACTGGCATAATGTATTCCAACGCTGACACTCTTTTTGTTAAAGATTTTTTTATAATATGGGAGCAGAACCAAAGCTCAAAGACCAGTATTTATGTTGTAGGCTGATTTGGCTTTTGCATCCTTGGAGGTACTTACATGTAACGGGTTTTGTTGTTTTGTTTTATTTTTTTCCCCAACAGTGCCCTGATTCTAATCTAAATCCAAGAATTAGTCTTGGATTAGTTGTTGTTTGAACTACAGTAATAAATTCCAGTAGCACCAATTTACAGCCATCTACCATGCTTGACTGGAGTTGATTGTTAGTAGTACTTACGCTCCTAGTGGTATTTGGAAGGGTGATAACTGTCCTGGATCTGTGCCCCGCTGGAGGCAGAGCGAAACTTTATTCCCTTATTTGTGTTAAACTGTTTTCTCCTGTTCTGCACCTAGTTCTGTGTGCTGATCAGCTCACTATTCTTTGAGATGCACCCAGAGAGGTACTTTGGAGTGCAAATGGTCTGAGTAGGACATCATCTTGTTGTAGTCATCATCCTCGTGTATGTTGTACAATGGCAAATGCATTACTAAAGGATTCTGTTCTCTTCTATGGGCTTCTAATTGCTAAGTTAAAACTGTAGGTTTTGAAAAAGCAAAAGGACTGAATACTCAGTTTTGACAATCTCTTTTGGGTGGGGTTTTGAGGAGTTTTTCTTGTCAGGTGTGTCTTGAGGTCATCTGGCCTAGCAAACAAGATTCTCAGAAGTCAAATGTAGAAAGTCTCTTCCAGTATAAGTGGGTGCATATTCTAATTGCTTTTTGGGTGGTAAGCTCTCATTTTGTTCAGTGTCTAGTAATTCTTGAACAATTCAATTGAAACCTTTGCGTTAAACAGAACAGGTTGAGTGGCCAATAAGCTGGAAAATTGGAAGAAAATCTTGATGGGTTCAGCTGGTGTCTGGCATCAGAACAGCCTGTCCATATGCTAAATGCTTCTGCAGCCAAGTCGGCCAGGAGTATGAGTGCCCACATGTGAGGCAGAATAATAAAGCTGGAGGGGAATAATATGGTTCCCTGAATGTCTTTGTAGAAACAGCAAAAAGCCGGTGAAAGAAGCACAGCTAGTCAACTAGCAATCTTTTTTGGGGACAGAAATAAAGTTATAGCTACTTTTCGTGGATGTAATTGTTTTGTGCTGAACACATTATTTAGAAACCCATCAAGGGTTCAAAGGATGGAGTTGCCTTGTCTGCTGGTTACCTGTTGGGTGCTGGCTTAGCTGGAGGCAGTGAAATGTTTTGATGGGTCTCATCACTGATCACTCCAGTGAATTTCTGCTGCACTGGAGCTCTGCCAGAGCTGTGAATTACTTGATAATGGCTGATCAAATTTTTTTTCTTTGAAAACACACTAATTTTAGTGGTGGTTTTGTTTTATTCCTAACTTACCAGGTGTTACTTTGGAATTACTCATTAAATGTAGGCTGTGAACAGTTGGCAAAGCTTATAATTCTTTTCTTCTATACATCCCGTATGTTATCTAAGCTGAGAGCGATGGTTTTGAATGTAAAGGGATGGTAGAAAGCTCATCACAGTTAAAGAATAGGTGGGAAGATTGCAAGAAATGGGGGCAGAAGTTTGAGAGATGAAGTGGCTTAATATTGCAGATGGAAAGGTGTTTTTTCAGCTACTCTGCACAGGCAGAGTCTACTCTGAGTGACTTGAATTTAAATTCAACTGGACCTTGAAAGCAGGATGCCAGTTGGCAGAAGGGTCCTGGGTTCTACAGTTAAATGTTTTGTCTTTTTCATTACCTGGTAATTTGGTTCCTTCTCCTTTATGTATCCTCATTTACTCTTGTAGAAGACACATAGAGTTTTATCTCTTGCTTGTGTGGTAGAAGTTTCATTCCTACCTGTCTGCTCAAGGTTGCTTCATGTCTGTCTTAAGCGTGCAAGGCTGGAACCACTAACAAATCCATATGGAAAAGTGTGTCACGTTATTTTAAAAAAAGCTGTTTCCTGGAAAGCTCTACACTTGCAAGCATAATTACAGCTCTATCTTCCTAGCACCTTTCATGCAATCATGCACTGTCTTCGTAAGAATTTCTGATTGTATCGTAAATCAAAAGAAATGGGATGTAACTCTCCATTAACTTGATTATTTTTTATTTTTTTTTTTTGTCTAGGCTACCGAACGCCATTAAATTTAGCTCCAGAGCAACAACTGATTTATGAATTTAACTTCTATGCAAATATTAGTGATATTCAAGTCATTGGAGATGCCAAGTTTATTCTCTTGTGCTTCTAGATTTACCAGAGATGCTGGTTAGTATTCAAAAAAGCTTCAAGCAAAGGGCCAAAGAGGCTGGAGAAATTCTCAGATGAACGAGCTGCTTACTTTAGATGCTATCACAAGGTAAGACATGGTAATGTGATTGGTTCTCAAAATTGTTTCTACATACAATCGAAAATAAAATCTGAAGTCATATATTAATTGGCCTGAAAATTAGAACTTTTTTTACTATTGAGGTCCTAAACCCACTTGTAGGTTCCTTTATTTGGTAAAGTAGGTGCAGAGTAAGTGTTCTATTTCCTGCTTTGTAGCAACCATCTTCCTAAGCTAATGGAAAATGACTGTTTTTAGAGATGTCCTTTCCTCAGCCCTTTAAAATCAGAGCTGAAATACTTTGCAGTGGCTACTACTCTTCATAATTACGGTAGCAAGCATCCAAGGTAACATGTAAATTCAAAAAGCTGGGTACTTAGAGGTTCCCATTTCACTAGGATTTTGCATCTATGGGAGAGAGTAGACAGCTACGGATATGAAGGGCAATGTGAAATTTTTCGTGGAATGGCGATGTGAAAAACTTTGCTAAATTCACCGGTATTAAAAGAATCAAGTTCTTCCCTCTAATCACTCCTCTGGAGTTATGTGCACATTTTGTATTCATCTGAGAATTTACATGTGTAATTCTCCTGGGCATGGAGATGAAAATAAGAAACCCTTTAATTTATAATTATTGTTGGCAAAAGCTTAATATATTAGAAGATTAGGAATTATGTGCATAAATTCCTAGGAGTCGGCGAACACAGCTCAGCTTGAGGCTGATCTGCGCTTACTCACTTTGACATACATTTAGGAGGAAATCTTGAGGGAATACTGAGTCTGAATTCAGACTTGTCTGTCTACATGCTACGTAATTTGTAATTTATTGGTCATAAAACCTGTGGCTATTTGTAGTAAGCCATGCCCAGAAATAGTTCATTCAATTTTATATTAAGCAACTTCCAAAAGTAATGAGAAGTGCATTTTTTCGTTTGGTGCGTGTGAGGGTTGCACAGTGTATATAAGACAATTTCCAGTTTATGTGAAATGCATTTATATTAGTATGGCTCTGTCAATTATTGATGCAAATCTGTGTTTCTTCCATTGTATTAATGCAGTATATCAGCAGCACATGCTAACTTGAACTTCAGATTAGGTAATGAATATGAAATCCATGAGGAATATAAATGAGACTTTTTTTTTTTTTTTGTCCTCAAGAAAATCTGTAGGTTAGCACTTACTTGTGTATGTGACCTAACAGGAGTTTCCGATGTCTGGATCCACAGACTGAAGCACCGTAGAAAGTCCCACTAGCTTTGGGGGATTTTCAGCTTTAAGTCAAGCTTAGAGTCTGTAGTTAACAGTTACTTAATGTTAAACTACTGCTTCTTCAATAAATTTAGTATCTGGATTTCTCTGGTGGCTTATTGGACAGGAATAAACAGTGGTCAAACTCCACGATCAGTCACTTTTGGAGGAGTCAAACAAATTTAAATGCAGGTCACTTGAATATGGTGTGCACTCCTGAAAGCACTGGTTCCAACTGGAGTGAACAGATAGACTGTATGTACTAGGTCTCATTTTCAGGAACTGGAGGGGTGCTGTCATGGGGTCTGAGTCTTACGTTGAGTATGCTCGAGGTGATCAGCCTGAGCTTCTGTGGGGTTTTTGGTTTTGGTGTCTTGGAGCTGCTGAGCTAGACTGTCACTCCAGCGCTCCGAGCTCTTTGCCTAAATGTCTATCTGCTTCAAGTCCCAGGTGTGTAGGCCCAAATTGCAGTATGCAGTGCTGAGGTTTCTGCCAGAAAGCCTGTAGTCCTCCTGTATAAAATGGAGAATCTCTCTTCCCAGCGTTGCGCCAGGCCCGGTGCTGTGGATGAGCTTTCCGCAGTGGGGTGCATTCAGGCTGGATGACTGGGCAGCAATCTCGCTGCCATTTGTGGGAGCCACTCTGGGAATGTTGCCATCAGCATTTGTTCTGCACGTTTATCACTCCTTTTTGCCACTCTGTAAATGAAGCGATGCTAACCAAGTAGAGCAGTTTAAATGTGATTGCCCAGGACAATGGGTTGTCACTTATGCAGCGTTGCTGTTTGTCAGTGGGGCTCTGCAATGTCCCTGTTTTTTTACTGTGATGGCAAAATGACGCTGTCTTTAGTTCTAGAGTCATCAGCTATACAAGTTGACAGGTCCTTTTTATTTTTAATGAACCTTACTAAAAGGAAGATAATGAATATTAAATAGCATTTTATGGCTAAAATGTGTTAACTTAGAAAGTGCACAGGTGGATAAAAATGAGTTTCTTTTTTAAATAAGCCTATTTAAATGTGTGAAATTCAAAGGTGGCAAATGGTGCAGCTTCAAACAGTATTAAATATGAGGTGTTGGGAAAAGAGAACCTGTCACTTCTGCTCTATAGTTGAACTGATTCTTATAAAAAGCGTAGTTAACTATTCATTTAAAAAAAGAAACCACAAACAACTTAATATGACAGAGTATTCAACTAACACTACTTCTCACCTGTTTTTGATATATAATATTAGTGGGATTTTGGTACTCCAGACATCATCTGGAGGTCTAGGATCGTCGTTGCTGTTGTCTTGTTACACATTTGGTCAGCAAGAGCAGCTGCTGTAATGGTTCATGGTGTACAGGGGCTTTTCTGTGACTATTCTAATTGTGTCGCTTCTGGACAGAAGGCTGCTTCTCGCTGTCTCTGACAATAAAGTTAATCCCACAAATGAGGCACCCAGCCAGTCCTGTTAGCATGTCAAGTGTCACTGTGTCATCAGCTTGTGCTAATGAATCTAAGGACAAATGCAGGTCAGTCTGATAGATGACGCTGTAAGAGGAAAACTTCACTTACAGGTTACTAGTGTTTCAGAAATATGGTTGTTAACTTCCTACCTGGGTTCTGAAGTGATTCTCAAATGCTCTTGAAAGCAGCATCAAATCTAGAAAACTGAGGAGACCCCGCTCACCCCATCAATCTTGGGAAAGGTTTAATCCATCATAAAACTTTAAAGGGTAGAAAAAGAAAATGATGAATGGAGCTAATTTTTCAATGGCACCTGCCTCCTTCACTGAAGTGTTAAATTGTTTCATTTTGTTGGGTGTTTTGTTTTTTTTTTTTTTTAACTGTGGTGAATTAAAGTGCAAATGTTACTTTGATTTATCAGTGGAAAGAGTCTGTCCAGAGCGTTTGTTCTGTTGGCACCATGGTGGTACCGGTCACTGGAGCCGAGTTGCTGTGGCCTAAGACTGTACAACATCTCCTTGGCACCTTTACCCAGCCAAGGCCTCTCCTTTTCCATCCGAAGCCTGGGTCACAAGCAGTATTTCTGAGGTGTCTCGGTGGTGTTTCTGTCATGTGTGGGGTGTCCAATTTCTTCTCATTTGAATGTGTGATGTATGTGTCCTCTTCTGCAGCCCTGCACCAGGGGCTGAATTTTGATGTCTTTGCCTCTCGGAGTTTAAAACCACAAAAGAAAGAACTACTCTTTGGGTTTTTTTAATAATACTGCCCTTTAAATACTTTCTAATCTTGTTCTATTTTTTTAAACATTGAAAGGTTAAAGTGTCCTAAAATACAGGTCATCTGAGAACAGTCATCTGTAGCTTATGAAGTGAACTGGAAATTTGCATACACAAAGCAAATTGTCCACTTAATTCATTTGGTCCCACAAGGGAGGGAAAATAATTAGGATCCAGGCTACAAAATCTATGCAGAGAGTTGCCTTTCAGGTAGCTGTCTAGTTTTCACTTGTTAAATGTAAATATTCAACCACAAATTACCATATGTTTTAACAAAATAATATCGGAGGAAGGAAGAAATCCCTATTTCTCTATGTGACTTTTGACTTTGCAATGTGCTGGATGAATCCTTAATATTCCAATACAAAACCAGCTAATTGCGTACTGCTGACAGGAATATACTGATTCCTCGAGGGGATCTAACTTTTAATCCGATTGTATTAATCTTGCCTTGAAACAGCAGAAGTAATTTAAACAGTCTTTCTGTCTAGTTATGGAATAATCTATTTGGAAAATTGAATTGTGTAATTTGTAATTGTTTTCCAGGCATTGATAATGCAAAACTGTATCAGTAGCAAATTAAATGTTTAAAGTATGACCCCTCTGCTAATAACTGGCTGTTAAACATTTATTTTACTGAATTCTATCACTTACTGTGAATGAGATGTCTAGTTTGAGGCTTTAAAAGAATTAAAGTAACTTGTCAGGATATTTTGGTGTCATGCAGTGAGGCTCATTGCAAGGCTCATTCCAAGGCTCGTTGCAAGACTGTGGGGCAGGTACATGTCCTTCCATATGGAAGGACGTATCTTGTGCATGGGTCCACTGATCCTGAGTGAACGAGCAGCCTCTGAGAGTGATGGTAAAAACTGAGTGTCTAAATCTGGTAGTTCCTGGCTTTAATTTCTTCAAATAAGCCAGTGTTGGACTACACGGGGGTTATGGCCAGGGTGTGTGCGATTCTGTATGTGAGCAAGTGAAAACTAATAGCTGATGATTTTTCCTACTGATGAAAGGGAGGTATAGGCATGGCTGTAGATTTAATTTTTTATATATATATTTCTATATTTAAATAAATATTTGAAAAACTACATAAAAGTTTTTGCATATTATGTATACTTGGTAAGTTAGATATGTACAGGCAAATCTTACAAGCAAGACTGGGCTGGAATTGTAGCAGCATCATCATTTTTCATTAAATGTTCCCCTGGCATGTCCTGAGAGGTGTTCTGTCTGTGCTTATCATGGGGGGAACTTTCAGGAAGCCAAGACAGAACCATGAAGTATTTAAGACTGAAACACAAGACACTTGAAAACCATTGAATGTGGCAGTTGTGTAGGCAATAAATACACTCCTTTGTGTTCTTGTTCTGAAAGACTACTCATATTTGAGAATTATCTACTAATTAAAGCAATACTTTGAAAGCTAAAGACCATTTTTAGTAAACTGTGTGTTTGACATGTTTTTGAAGGGAGTGGGAGAGATGGAAGAAGTTTTGCCTGAGTGTTTCTGGTCAGGGTAAAGCTCTGTCTGCTTGCACTGTCGGTTGGGAAATG